GTAAGAGATTGGACACGAAGTCCAGTAAAGGCGAGGACCTCATTGAAGTGACTAATTATATTTGGCAGATAATCGCATCTAAATCATGAATATTTTAATTATTATTTATTGGAATTATTCTTTATTCTATATAATTTAATATTTATTTTATGTACATTTATACTCATTGAACAATAAATGAAAATTTAAAAAGTTTAATTGTATCAAATATTCTGTATATCACAGCAGATACTGTATAATACAAAGTTCTTCAAACCTATATTGCAATGACTTAGTAATACAAATAAATACGATATGAATCTAATTCATGTAAAGTACCAAGTACAAGGACTTTGAGATTCCTGTATTGCAAACAGCCTTCACTAAATAAATACTAGTTAAACATTAAGTCATTCAAACAACTATTATGGCTGATATCTATTGAAAACAAAATAATAAAATAAGTATTTTGTTTTGCCAACAATTCTATTTTATTTACAATTAATTTTTATCAATTTCAAACACCGGATCTATAATCAGGTACAGTAATTAAATTTAATAATTAAGATTAGCATAGAGTTCACACTATTTGTGTGACTCTAATGTTATTTTGTTTGTACAATATTTATTTTACGGTAAAAATAACCTGAAATGCAATTATAACTGTAATTATATGTGTAATACCGACGATATGTAACTATTGGTACATTTTAAATAAACCTTTAGACAAAATTTTAGATTATTAATTAAAATTTTTAAATTTAATTAGTCTCAGAAAGTTTAAAACTATTGAGTGGAGAATTTAATACTTTAGCTAAACTTTACATTGAAATTTTTGTTTAATTTAGTTTTAATTGTTTTATATTGGTTAGATTTGATTAACAGTTACTAATTATCTCATTAGTCATGAGCTTTGATCCGTCCACATATGAAGAGACCGGTTTTGATGCCATACTTCCCGCTAAAGAACTCATCAAACAAATCAAACAAAGTTATAACAATAAGTATGCATTTTCTAGATAATCATTATTTTGTCATATTTTCTAAAATAAAGAGTTTTTCAAATCAATTTTAATTAAATTAATTCAAAGTAAAGTACTATTTTGTAATTTGACCGGTTCATTTTTGTGTTTAATATCAATTTCCAACAGCAAATACCCACTGGTTGTAGATATCGGGTGCGGTCCGGGAAACACCGTAAAACTGTTGGACAATGAGCTCAAACCGGAACAGATCATCGGTATAGACATCGACACAGAGATGATATCATTTGCCAAACAAAACAATGGACTGAAAAACAGCGAATACTATGTGCAGGACATCGGCGCAGACTTTGACAAATGGGATCAAAGTCTTCAGAAAGTGAGCGGAAAAGTATCCGTCGTTTTCTCCAACTATGCGCTCCATTGGGTTCGGGATGTGGAGACGGCCGCCAAAAACATGTCGCGACTCCTATCTAAGACCGGGATCATTGTCATTGACATACTATATTGCGGTGATATATACCGTAATGTGAGTGCCGAGCAAAGGGCTAAATACGAGCAGTGGCTCCGGTATCCCAGCGAACAGGAGGTGATCGGCCGGTGGATGTCGGCCCTCAAAGGCGCCGGACTCACACAGATTGACATTAAATTCTGGAGACCGAAGTGCATATACCCTGAGAAAGTATACAACGGTTTGTATACAACCATTGAAATAGGTGTCACATTATCTGATAATTTGCGATCAAATAATTTCAGAGTTCATTCAGTATCCCATCAATTGGTATAAACAGTATTTGAAAGACAATGTGGACTCCGGTGTCAATGTGGACGACCTGTTAAAGGATCTCATACTGAAAGACAGGGCCAGAAAAATGTCTGAAAAGTCACCGAAAGGTGAAGACCTGATTGAAATCAAACAGGAATTATGGAATTTTGTGATCAGAAAATAAATGGTTCAAGTATCAATACCATTTTATAAAACAATAATATGTTTAATCACTCAATGATTTGCGATTAAAAACTATTTCATAAAATATGTCTTTGTATTGCAAAATGTTCATACCGTAACTTTAATTAATTAATAAACATATGAATGTATGACATATAAAAAGTAATTTAAATATATTAATACTAATAGACAGCTAGACGTCATTCAAGATGAGAAACAAACTTATTTTTTCAATTATGTTATCATCTATTTGTTGACTATGACAAATTTAAATCAAAAACAATTAGATATTCATTCAAAATAACAATTATAAAAAGTTTTTATTATCAATGAATGTGTATTCAGTAATTGTTTGCTGTATTTTAATGTTTATTAATTTTGTCGACAATACAAGTAAATTGTTATAACTTTTGGGAAATGAAATTGGCAGTAAATTTAAACGTAATTTATAAATTGAATTTAAGTTTAATTGTGAAATCTAACAATTTTATTTTAAATATGTGCTCAGAATGATCATAATGGTGTGGTTAATTTATTTTTATAATTTGTGGTACCGAAGTAATCCACATCTTAAGTGATAAACTCGGGAATTTTGTTTGGCATTTGTAAGAATCTCTATGTAAAAATAAGCTGTGCATAGCTTGCGATACACTTATGGTTAAATGACATATCCGATAAAATGTGTTATATTCTGGTTTCAAGGCGTGAATCTGGTTAATTTGTGTTCGTGAACCTAGTTTTTTATCAAAACACACATAATTGTCAGAAATAATTAAAATAACTATTAAATTTAAAGAAATTAGTAGATAATTTTTCGAAAATTGTTGCCAAAACATGTTCTGGAGACTACCTCTTTAGATGTGGATTAATTCAATACCATTGATGATAAAAATAAAATTACCATACTAACTTGATCATTATTAACATATATTTAAAATAAAATTGTTAGATTTTACAATTAACTTTAAATTCAATTTATAAATTACGTTAAGATTTACTGCCAATTTCACTTCCCAAAGGATATCACTACGAATATTACAATGTGTAGCGATAATAAACTTAATCTTGCTGACTTTTCAGACTCCAGGTTCATCTTTTCGGAGGTATACCGGTGCGAAATCGGCTCATATTTCAGTAAAATTAGTCGAATTATTAAAACAGTGGCCACTAATCAAACCTATTGCGGGCTATCCGTTAGTGAGAGCGCCGGTAGAAAAGTGTTTCATGTGTCCAATAAAGGGGACGAGGGGGACATTAGGGTGAAAGTCAAATATACTATTATGGCTAATAAGGGTATTATACAAATCACTATAAACTCAATATATTTTATTATTGAACTGAGTTTTGGGTTATAATCTGACATTTGGTTTTACAAAATATAATTTTTATATGAAAAATGAGTGAAAATAATGGCATTGAAATTATTGATTGCATTTCGCGGTAAACCTTTCGCCATATATTCCGGTCTATTATTTATTATCCAATTCTTAGGTCAGGAGTAGAAAACAGTTTTTAAAAAATAAATAGAAATATCTATCAATAACTTTGATGATAAAAGATTTATCAATAAATTCACAAAACACAGTTCAATACGTGGTAAACAAGTTGCGAAAACTGGGAATTGATTTATTTCATAACGTTATGTAACTTTTTATGTCCAATATTTATCAGGTAATGAAACGGTAATAATAGCGGGAAAAGTGATCAATTCATACTTCAAAGAGTGTGTCGGAGATTATTTTATTAGCAAACAATATAACGTGATTACGGACGGCAACTGTGGGACAGGTATTAAGCGCATGGACTCAAAGGTGGCCGATATCCAGATCATGGGCACCTGCGAGTCCTATTGTATGGGCAAGGTGGCTTATTACAATAGTGATATAACGTGATTACGGACGGCAACTGTGGGACAGGTATTAAGCGCATGGACTCAAAGGTGGCCGATATCCAGATCATGGGCACCTGCGAGTCCTATTGTATGGGCAAGGTGGCTTATTACAATAGTGCATCAGCCAGGCACTCCAAGTCGAATATCGGTAATAGTCATAGCAATTGTTTCCGATTGTGGTCTACCATACAGTAAACAATTTACTAATTTATTTGCTGACAGAGAGACTACACTGTATTATAATATTTTTTTGTAAAAACATTAAATGTGTCCTTAATTTAAGACAAAAATATTTTTTATTGGTTTTCCGAAACAGAGATAAAAAAGCGTTTTGAAGAGTTTGAAAAATTATTTAATGGCAACATTTATAAAACAAATAAAATCGCTGTGGAAGGACCCGGATAACAATGATATGACATCAATAGATTTTATAGTGCATACTTTGTAATATTTTTAATAAACATATTTTTAAAAATATATTCTTTATGATACAATATATTCATAGTTATGTAATGATTGTATACTAGTACAATTACTTTGTATATACATTTGTGCCAATACTGTGAACTTGACTTTCGGTTCAGTTTAAAGAGATATGGTTTTATCGATTTTATAACAAATATTATACAGTTTATGACATTTATAATATAAACCCTTTGCCTAACGTCCCCTCACTTACTGTAAGTAATTGAATAAAAACAAAAACACAGATTATATGACAAATAAAGTTATTAATGTTTGCTTATGATTCCCGATAAAATGTTTTCGTTTACTTTATCAACACATGATAGACACTGAGTCTCCTGTTATTTCATAGCAAATAACATAAGTATTGACCGGATTTATATTAAATAACATTTTGATTAATCTATTTAATTATATTAATATATTAAGAAATATATTAATATTAGTATTAAGAAATCATGGTTGTATAATTACGTATATAAACATTATTATAATATTATAGTTATTAACTATATATAACTAGTCTACTCTGTATAAATACAGTTATTAACTGCTAATATTAAAAAAAATATTTTAATAAAAGGTTAATTAAATAGACTAACCAATTAAATTAAGGATATATCTTAAATTTCCACACTAATTATTATTACTTATCAATGAATATATAGTTTAACATAACATGTTGTTTCTAATAAATATCTAAAATATCAGTATTATGTTGTAAATAAAAACATTGTAAATTAAAAAAAATATTTTGTATTTACTGATTAAATTAATAAAAGGATGTTTTTAATCAAGTATCTATCAATCAATTAATGATCAACTATATTGGTCCAAACTTTACATATACCTCATGATTTGGCTGAGAATGGATTGGGAAGTGTTTATGAAGTGATCCTTTGAGACAAAGAATAAAAGTCAAGAATCATTGATAAAAGCTTTGAAAATTAAAAAACAACATTCAATTAAGTGGTTCACAAAAATTCCATCTTCTCGTGATATATGAGATGATAGCATAGATTAATCATTTGTTTGTTTGGTATAAAAACCAACAATTTTTATTTATTCTTCAAGAATTTAGTCAACACATTATTTATCTGAATATCTTTTCAGTGTTAACCACATATTAAACATATTAATATTTAATATAAACAGTGAACTATTTTATAAATAATGGATTTCGACCCCAACTTTTACAACGATTTCACCGATTCTATACTTCCGGCAAATAAATTGATTCATAGATTGCAACATATTTCGCAAAACAATGAGTAAGTCATGTAAACCTAAGAAAGTTAATTTAAAAACCACTTCAGTTTAAATAAAAATAAAATTTCAAACAACGTACGAGTCATAAGAAATTAATTTATAACTTATTAATACAACAGGAGATATGAAATCATTTTAGACATCGGGTGCGGAACGGGATCGACAACCAAATTACTTACGGTTTTGAACTGCGATCGCATAATAGGCTGTGATATCGACCCCAAAATGATTAGTTTCGCACAAAAGCATAACAAGTCTCCAGAAATTGATTATTTGATTCAAGACTTTGGCGTCAATTGGCACCAATTGGACGATCGACTCAAACGATTAGCCGGTAAAGTGTCAGCAATTTTCACCAATTATGCCATGGCTTGGGTCTGGGATAAGGAGAGCGCAGCCACTAATATCGCTAAACTACTGGCCCCGGGAGGTGTGTTTGTGGCCAATATCCTGTACGATGGGGACATATTTCAGTGTCTGCCTAAACACGACCGTCAGAAATGCTATGATTTAATACCGTATCCGACGGAACAGGAGTTTATGGGCGGTTGGCTCATGTCTCTCAAGAAGGCCGGTCTCTATAAGATAGATATTGACTACTGGGAGCCTAAGATTGTCATGTCGGAGCAGTTATACCTCGATGGTATGTCCAATTGTCTAATTATTTTTAGTTTTCTTTCTAAAGTTATTAATTTTAGTATATTTTCTATGTTTATAGAGTATATAAATATACCAATGAATTGGTATAAACACTACTCGACGTTAAACAATGGACACAATGGGGACATGGATCAGATCCTCAAGAAATTAATTTATGCCGAGAGATGCAGACCTATTGACCAGAAGTCCAGTGATGGCCAACAGCAGGTGGAAATTATTAACAGGTTCACTTAATATGCAATTTTATGCTAGCTTAAAATATGAATCTAAGATATATTTTTATTTGTTGTCAGATTGTGGCAAATCGTAGCCCAAAAAGGAGCATAAAAAGTGAATTGAATATAATTTTTATTATTTTATAATTGCTTTCATTTATAAGTTCTTAATATTTCGCTAATAATAATACAAATAATAAATACTATAATTACAATATTTACAGCATTAGTCACTTGTGATTTATGTTTTCAGAAAACAAATTTGTTTATTATATCCCTATTATTAAATTTATTAAATTTTCTATTTATATAACAGTAATGAGAGTATTTGTATGTAAAAACAAAAACAAGTCATAAAATTATTATTTTTATATAACTTAATAACAAATATAATTAACAGTTATTTTTCTGTTAATAAAAATATTTTTATGATTGCAATCATAGAGATTGTATATTTAATTCAGAATAATCATAACAATAAAATATTTAATATTTCAAAATCATTTAAGTGAAAATCAAAACAACAATAATTATTACAGAATATATTCTGTATATAACTTTTAAACTCAACTTTTATAGTGTACTTAATTATAAAAACAAGTGTTTCAGAAATGGGTGTATAATAAATTTATAATATACGGAATATGTGTATATTAATTAAAGCAATTGTCTATAAAATATTACAAAACAATGTCTCGTTTTAAAAAATCAATGGGATTTGTACTTATTATATAATTAATATTATGTTTAATGAGGTACTTGTAAATAATAATGCAAATGTTGGTATAAAACAATATTAAAACATAAATTTATGTACAGAATAAATGAAATCAAAACTCAATTCATTATATAATATCAAAATTATATTAATGAATAAAATATAACAAAAATAAAGTTTTTAAATAAAATATGAGAAATAAAACTAAACGTTAACTTCAGTACTATTAGTATCAGTGGATATGTCTCTAATGTGGCTATTATTGGCATTTAAACCATCTATTCGTATGTATTGCTGACCATTAGTTTGGTTACTATTAATAGTAGTATTATTGTGAGCACTAAGACTAACATCTGTAGTACTGTTCCCATTGTCCACACCATCGCCGACTATAAGGACGCTGACGGCACTGGTATTTTGGGGGCCAGTAGTGCCGTAATCGTTGCGTGTGATTGATTGTCATGTGATAGAGTCGGCCATCGATTCGCAATAGTTGTCTAATCGTCGGTTTGGCGCTAATCTCAGAAATATATACCTGGCTAACAGTGCCAACAGTAGCGACTCAAATAGCAGTAACGAGTTTCGCAGATCTGTACAACAAATATCATAATAAATATTAATGACCATGCTACTTGTATATAATAAGTGTTACGATAGTGACAATAAATATAAAATACAACTGAAATTGTGTGGAAATGTTATATTAGAGAAGTTTGTACTGATTTTTCCACTTATAGCTCACATTTATTTTTGCGGTTCAATGCATTTGGACAGTCAGCTAATGTTCAGTAGTTTTTTTTGTAATCAGAAATTCATATAACTTTCACATAATATTCTCATAAAGTTTTCTGAATAAAGGGATTTCCATAAATTTTAAATTTTCACAAAAATTTATTCACAAAAAAGTACTTTTGTTTTATGACTTTCCATAGATAACTAGTGGTTAGAAGTAGGGGACACATGAATAAACACCAAAATATCAAAAAAACCATTTTGAAATATGTATATTAAAAGTACATTATTTTAAATGCTCCAAAACTTTACAGATTTAATACATTGCTTGATAATTATGGACTAGATTTCCCTTTCAAAACATAGTTACGTGTTGTGTAGTAATATATTGAGTGACTTTACTTTCATTTATAATAAAAACTTCTCAAAAGATTAATAACTTTTAGTCTATTTTTCTGTGTATTCTTAAAGCCTTGAATCCAATCATTAATTATAATACGAGACAAACAGAAACACATTTCCAACACTTTTTTGGCAACAAATTTAAAACAATTAATTCTCAACTCATAGAGTTTCCTAAGTAATCAATAATTTGTACGAATCGTGGACTCAAAGGCAAGAATAAAATTTAAAAAATTAAATGTAAAACATGCCTATATACACATAATTGTATGTTACATGAGCTCATTATATCACCATTTTTATAATATAATAAAAGTGCCGACAATTCTCATTAGTTTATAGCTCACACTACTCGCACACAATCATTGACTATAGTATTACACTTAT